ATTAAGATTCTCTGCTTGCTATGTCGATGATCTGATTTGAAACTAGAAAATCCTGTTCACCCTACTGTTGCTTATGTGAAAATTCATTGTAAGGCGAGTAGCAGTTTGCCGAAAACAACAATGCAGAAGAACGCAAAGTATTATTCAGATGAAACCTGAAAATAATTTGAAACTGCGCGAGGACAGCAAGCGATTCAAATTTCAAGTTTTTTCATATTGTATTGTATGACACGCATGCTAGTATATTTAAGGATTTTTTCGCTTTGGGAAAGAGGACTGTACATTATAATTAATTTCTTTGCTGCTAGTATGCGCCAAGAATCAAATCAACCCGATCCGCTTTCAACGGTGCAGATGACTGAAACCTATGCCAATTATCTTATGTTTCTTCAACAGACATCTGCTGTGCAAGATGACTTATCGTTGAATTACTTGTTGTTAGTCCTTTCAAAAGATCGATGACTTTGTGAGCGTTTATGTACAAGCAAAGCGCTACATATTTTCAAAGTGCCTTCATCACGCCTTATATGATAAAAAACCAAGCTTTAAGGTTTAAAAAAATAACGGTGGTATGAAAAAAAATAACGGTGGTATGTTCGTTTTGATGATTATACTTTTAGATGATAGACAGAAGAATTCCTTGGCTTTGCGTTTTTAAAATGTATCACATTGTCATTCGGTCTTTAAAGAGCCTTTAAGAAGATTTAAGCCCTAAAATCAACGGAAATTGATAATCGCCATACTAATCCCACGCTTAGTTTCATTCTAAAATGCGTGTATGCCAACTCCACTTTCTCCAGGCAAGTTTTAATTTTTCAACTAATTGTGTACTTTTAGCTACACTAAGAATAACAATAGTATTTTAAAGGATTGGTAAAAAAAGCACAAGATTTTTTGACTATGTTATTCACACGACTGTCAGCCAGAAAACCTTCAAAGATTTAAAGACCTAACTGGAAGATACGAAAATATTTGCATAGGATTTGACTGAAGGCGATTCCGTAACAACTCACGGCACGTTACGGCACCACGATTGTATCTGTGTTTGTAATATGGACGCAATGAACTTTTCATATATTTCACGCTCCTGTTTAGCTTCTCTACTCGGGCTATAAAAAATCCGCGCTCTCCCAGCGTTTTTGAAGCATGTTTACTCCGTAATATTATGATGCAAACCAATACGCCTTCAATGATGACAGCTCTCATGCCCTTTTTTCAATACTTTATTTAAAATGGGAACATATGCTCTAGCTAAACAAATAAATAATTACAATCAGCTAATCAATACCAACTAAGAAATCGAAAGAACTCCGAAATCAAGGTTACATTTTTGCTACAATAAAATACGGATTAGAACAAGTTGTAAGCAAACTGGCGTTTCCATTGAATCACTTTAAAAACGGACACATTTAATCCGTTGTTGTTTTAACCCGGGCTAATGGAAATACTTTTATCCACTAACTTCTCTTTATTCATCTAAAAGTACTTCTAGGAATTAATGTCAAGGTTTGAACATTTAATTTCTATATAACTGTTAACGAATTATGTTCGAAATTGTAGAAAGAAAAGTGTCAAAGGTGTCGATGTTGGCTACTTTATACTCCGGAGAATCCAAGAATTAACTGAACACCCAGACGCTATATCAAGAATTTAAGCTACCTACATCATTACTATTTTTGAGTCAATATCAATCAGTTTAAATCAGCTACAATAATTGTATGAGCCGTAAATTTTCAAATCAGTTTTCTTGGGGCCTTTTGATATAGGAAGATTTTAGATATTTGGGATAATTTCAAGGGGGAGCTTACACGAGGAAGGTGCACAACAACATCTGGTTTTGCAGCGTTTTCACAGTTTCAAGTGCATTTTATTAAGAATCAAACTCGCTAACTTGTTCTCTAAAATATCAAACCAGGGAATAAATAAAAGCTACATATTTGAATTTTAGTCCATAATAGTGGTAGTTTCTTAATATTTCAAAACTTGAGACAAAGGGGTATAGGGCATATAGTTTTTAGTATTTCTATTACTATTGCCTTTATAACGGTTATTACAGCTGTTTATATCGTTTTTGCAAAGCGAATGATCTCAGTTGCTGGAACGCATGTGTATTCAAAACAGACTTCAACATTAAACTATACTTTATTGTTAGTTTGTCTCTGAATGTGAGTGAACTATTTACTTTACCTTGGAAGCACGTTTAAAAAATTCATTACCTAAGAAATTTATGAAACATGTGAGAAACTTTTGATAGCAAAATGGCCAAAAAATTTAAAAAACTGCCTCCCAGCACCGGACCTTAGTTTCTTATAAAAAAATCGTGTAGCATAAAATTCAGAGATAAACCAACAAAGTGATCAAGGAATTTTGTTTTTCTAGAATGACTAAAGCCCCGTCAAAACGCTCTCAATTTTTCACTGAACATCGCTCAACGTTTGTACAGTGATGTTTAGTGATGTTTAGTGATATTGAATCGGGGTGTTAAAAAGCTCTCAACAGTTCGACTCGACACTCGTCGAGCGATGAACTTCTGATTCTCAGAGATCCAAGACAAGGGAATCCGCTGTTTAGGTATGGTGTTTTGGAAGATGAATTTCGGATACTAAGGTCAGGATTTTGGTCTTGCAACTTGCTTTGAATTGCTATCTCATCCGATTTGCTTCCATTGCCAGCTGTCTCCAAGCGTTCGTCATGGTTTGCCATTACGATTTATAAAATTCAACTTCTCTCAACCTCTTGGTGTGATCTGAGTTCTTGATGCGTTGCAGCCTATTTCAATCTTTGGCGCACGAAATCCAAGTCTAGTGTGCTTGCGCCGAATAAACATTGTTGTATGGGGTGTTAAAACGCTCTAAGCATCTCCCAACAACACTTTTGACAAAAGAAATGTTGAGTCGACCCGCTGAACATTTTTGAATTTGTTCAATCTCCACTCAACAGCGCTGAACACCGCTCAACACCACTCAACATCACTGAACAGGGTGTTAAAACGCTCTCAACATATGCACTCTACCAGGGCCGCCGGAGCTGGGGGGGGGGGGCTACGGGGGCACAGCCCCCTTTTTTGAACCATATTCTTCATATGATTTGATTATGTGATCATATGATCTTCATATCATTTGAACCACCATATTCTCTCTAATGAACGCCGGGGTCACTCATTTTATTTTTGGCCTCAGAGAAGGGGTGCTCATATGTCTGTGCCCTTTTTATACCTTTTGCCCCACCCCCCCCCCCTGCTCAAACCTGCTTGGGCGGCCCTGTCTGCAAATGTTGAGCGGTGTTCAGTGAAATATTGAGAGCGTTTTAACGGGGCTCAACTCTGTTGAGATCTCAAGTTGAAGTCAAAACAAATCCTCTTGAGTGTGCAATTTACTGAGAATGAATGAAAACTGCATGTCAAGTGTAGTGTTGCAATAAACAGTGATGTTCAATGTCAAGACTGTTTCGAGTGTCAACTCGGAATATTAAAACTGCAAATTATAAAAGTTGCTTAGCTTTTTTAAATTTGGGTAGGGCTGTTTCTTAAACTTGGAAAAAATGTCCCTACCGTTTCTTATGACCTGTTTTTTATAAAAAAGCATACGTGTAGTTGGAATGACAGTCTGTAATAACCACTAGCACTGCAGATATGCAATGTTGATTCTCTTCAAATGAGGTGTCAGCTCAACAAACTGTTATCAGTACAGACATTGTGCATCCAAAAAACTGGAGAAATTTCTTATGACTAAACTGCGAGGAACTCTATCTCACAGTGTTGATAGAGATTGGAAGTAATTTTTAGTTTTTCTCTCTTTCTGAATAGCTTTGACGAAGACGTTAATTTTTTACGACTATCGGAATATGGATGGGCATCCTGGAAAAAACCAGAACCTAAGACCCTTGGACCCTTGGACCCCTAGGGTCCTTAAGTACTGAATACAAAAATGACCCTTAACTATGAGAGATGCCACTACTTCCGCACAACTCGGCTCAACTGATAGGGCTGTCATTTGGCGTTAGTTTGATTGCATGTTGTTTACCTAATTGTATGCAGGCTTTCTTCTGTGCTTTCTGTTTTGGTTGTATTTTCATCTTTTATCGATAAATCTTTGCTTTTTCACCAAAAATTATCAAGGTTGCTTGTCAACATTTAGCTTCATGAAGTTATTTTGAAACCACTCTAAAAGGATCACGGTTTCATTGTCTAAACTATTGATGACATTTTCATGATTGCTATCGCAGAAACAGATAGTAGTATCATCAGCATGGTTGCATATTTTACTGTACGTCACACAAATAAACAGGTCATTCAGGTAGATATTAAATAAGAGAGGCCCCAGGACAGATCCCTGTAGTACGCCTATGCTAGTCTATGCTAGACCCGTTCACCTTCACTCTCTGCTTTCGCCTGTTCAGATAGCTGTTGATAAGCTGCAATGCTCTTCTGCCAAAACCATATGCTTCTAGCAGAGGGTGTTTCCACTGTCCAATGCCTATCTGCAGTTTTCTATGAACCGAAGAAGAGAATGCTGTGTGCTATGATTCTCTCGCAAACTGCACAGCAGTGAATCCAGAAAGCAAAGGCTTTCATTTGAGATTTCGTCAGTCTCTGATAGATTGTCGATGAGCGAGGCAATTGGTCTGAAATGTTTGTTTACGAAACTATCGAAATCATACTCTGAAGAGTGTCAGACAAATGCTTGCTTTTTTCAAAGCCATAGCTAGACCACTAAAAATTATGTGAAAGACAACGTAAATTGCTTAGATATAAAAAGCGCCAGCGGGCCCCTTTGGCTTACAGGCCCAGCATAAATTGCCCCTTTGCCACCTTGCCCCCTTGTCACCTTTCTCCCCTCTTGGTGGGAATGCTCGTAACAACTTCCAGCAACTCCTTTTAACAGCAGTACCTTTGAGTATTTAGACGAAAGAATGTCCATTAATGTTTTAAAAAACTGTTGTTGCTATTATGGCAAATGCGGTTGAAGGAAAGTTAAAAATTTATATTTTTTCCTTTCCAGATTAGCTTGTAGCAGAGGGTGGTATCCAGCAATTCAAAGGCGCTCTTGAGAACGGGTTACGGTTCGCCAAGAGGTCAATCTGCCGCTGCCTCTCGTGTGTATAAAAGGGTCGTGTCAGAGGGCCTTTCACATCAAGCTTCTTCAGACGCTACCATTGGAATCATATAAAAACAATCATGCATTGCTAAGTAAGTGACAGCCTTTAGCATTTTTGTTGAGCTACATGCTAAATGGAATTTGAAAATATAGGGCATTGCAAAGTTTTATACTCTTGATATTGATTTCTTAACTGATAAGGATATCCCTTTCTATACACAGCAATGTTTGCAGATATTTTTTCATAAATATGCTATGGTAAAATGTTTTTGTACATAAGGCTGATACGGAATCAGTGCTACCTGAGACCAGAACAATCGTGTTATGGCGATTGGTGTGGATCCAAGTTTTGGTCAAAACATACACTCAGAAATAGTTTTGATCAAACCTTTGTTCAGTTTCGTTTTAATTTTTTATTAACTTGAAAGTTAACAGATAACATTGCATTGATTGAGCGAATTTTGAAGCTCTCAAGAAACTAATCACAAGACATGACTTTTCGTAATACAACAATTTTGACAAACAGTCGTAAAAGTACGATTGCAAATCGACCCAAGCAAAAGATGTATTTAAAAACCATAAAATATAAAATAATTTGATATGTACACTAAAATAGAAGATAGGAAAACAACACGGCTTCACTTCTGCAAGCAATGTAATGGAACTAATGGATCTTTTGATTCTCATTATATAATTCCTTTTTCGTAGAATTACCAACAAAATAAAGAGCTTAAGACAACATTTGAAGAGCAGTTTCATTCCGTCTTGCTTGCACGTTTGCTCTACAAGGGCTAGACCGGTTCAATCAAATGTTGGTTCAGCTTTTTAAGCGAAAAATGCAATTGGGAAAGTGTGCAACGAAGAAGATATCACTCTACAATAGCAGGCCGGGACAATAAAGGAACCTGCGAAAAAAGAGTCTTGAAAAAAACAAACTTGTACAGCGAGAAATCTTCTTCTTTAAAGAAAGCTAAGCTCTAAAAATCGTTTTCCCTTCAGTATTTCATGATGGAGAATTTACCATTCTGGGCTAGTTTAATTCTGACGTTTATTGGTATAACAATAGCAGTTGGCAATGGGACAGTTTTTGTTGTCTATTGTTCCAACAAACAGCTAAGAACAATGACAAACTACTTTGTTCTTTCGCTTGCAGTTAGTGACTTTCTGGTAGGGACAGTATTATTGCCATTGCGTGTTTGGTCGCCGGAATCTCAAGCTCTCGGTCCTCTGATTGCATTCACTCTCATTGCATCACTCTCTAACATATCAGGATGCACATATGATCGTTACATAGCAATTCACAGACCACTTCGCTACCATTCTATACTCACAAAAAAGAAAGTGCACAAGATCATAGTTGCCATCTGGGTTGTTCCATTAGTAGTGGCAATCATTCCTCAGACATGGCTGAACCCAGCTGTCGGAATACGCCCAGACATCATTGGCAGAGTTCAACGCGTGTATGTTGCACTGATGAGTTTTGGTGTTCTGATCACATGTTTAGTGTTGTTAGGAATTTACATAAGCGTATTCTGTGTTGCGAAACGGCACTTTGAGGCGATAGCTTACCTTAACAGCTTTGCGGACCAAAGACGTCATCAAGGACAGGATGGATCTCGACCAAATATGAAATCACGTCGATTTTCATTGAAGTCTTTGGTCAAAGATGTCAAGGCAACAAAGCTGGTTGCTATGATCGGTGCTGCCTTCGCCATATGTTGGCTGCCCTTGATAATAATCAACATCTTTGAGTCAATAGGCTGCTTAGAGCTTTTGCCAATCGATTTTGTCACAGTCGCTTTGTTCACCATTTTCTGTAACAGTTTGGGTAACCCTGCGATCTACGCATTCTTTCAACGCGAATTCCGTGTCGCCGTCTCTTCTTATGTGCGGAAGATCTTCAAGAAAAACAGAGCCCGGAGTTTCCAAACCTCGTTATCAAGCAACAGCCATCTAGAACACGAGTCCTTTTGCAATACAGGCGACGAAAGAAATTCGATAGCTCTTAACAGTATAGAAAGAGACAACCAACCCCAAAGCGCTGTCAGGCAAGCGGGAAGCAATAAGTCGAAGCACCATTCAGTCGTAAGCTTCATAGGCCAATGCGCTTAGAGCATTGTTGCAAAATTTATCAGCAAACTAACCAGCAACCAATGGGAGGCTTCAACTGATCTCTAACACTTTAGAAATATTACAGAGTCATCAGTAACACTTCTGGCGATTAAAAATCAGCGTCGCGTTGCAGTAGATGTCCACTTGAGACGGGCTCAATATAAAGCAAAAAAAACTTGAACTTTTGCCTGTCTTTGCCATCTGCCAAGACTATCTCCAACTTCCTTACTTTGATGCAACTTACAGCAACGTTCGTGGCAAAAAGTGGTCTTTCAGAAGACTCTTCACGGGCAACTGTGCAAAAGGACCAATTTTACGATTCAGTCAAATTGCTGTTATCGGCCATCACTGTTTGTGGATTACAAACCAGGTTAATTTTGAGGTAGGTACCACCTGGAAGGCAGACAAATTGTTATGGTTTTTTTCAAGTACCCACATATGTAGGGGTTCAGAAAAGTGATGGTGAACGGCGATCTGCTGGGACTTAAGGGGTGAACTGCTCTCAACTTATAATGATGTCAACGCAATTCTTATATAGGTTTTTGCATCAGATAGGAGATTTTTCATTTCCTCCTCCAAAGAGGTATTACGTCTGAGTGCTAACCTTTTAACCCCATTTTCACCCCTTTGTTCCCAGCAGATCGCCGTTCGCCATAATTTTTCTGAACCCCAACATATGTGGGTACTTGGAAATAGCCACAGCAATTTGTCCGCTTTCAGGTGGTACCTACGCCACAAAAATATGAACCTGGTCTATTACTTCGACGAATTCGGAAAACAAAGACCTTACATGGGACACAAAATAAAACTTTTCTAGAAATGAATCTCGTGTCAGCACGAGTTTAATTTTAATTGCTGGTCACGTGCTGGTCACGTGCTGATCACTTGCTGGTCACGTGCTGATAGACGCACTGCCATGTTTATTATGTGAAGTCAGAAAAAAGTGTTGTGTTTCGTGATGTGTTTTGTGGCAGAACGAAATAAAGCCGAAATCAGTCTATGTATCTCTATCCTGTATACAAGATTTCATTTCCTTCCTGCAGAATGGAGACTCAATTACACACGAAACAAAGATTCACTTTGGCTTCGTGTAAGCTAGAGACGTTACCGTCATTAGTTTTGTCTTGGCCTTTCGGGCTTCAGGTAGAGGTAGTCTTAAAACAAAAAAGAAGTTTAAAGTCAAGCCGATGAGACCCAGCAATGGCCTCTAAATGATTCACCAAATCAGAGCCGCCACCTTAGGCCTCTCTGAGAACGAGGCAATCGTTCCTTTTATGAACAACTATTCCTTAAAAAATATCCCAATATTCCTTACAAAGGTTACGCAAAAACTGCTGACAAAACACTGTCTATGTGTCAAATCAGTAAAGTATAATCCGTATAACGGCAAAGGAAACAAAGCTTATGTTTTAATATTACGTTTAACGTTTAACATAGACTTAAGAGCTCTTAGAACCGTATCTGCAGTGCAGTTTGCTTTAACAAAATTCTTTTTGATTGAAAAATTGATATTTTGGAAGCAAAAAAATCCATAATATTTTGAGTCCCCTTCAAAGACAACAGCTTTTCGGCCTCGCTATCGCTGCTCAACATTGCAAGATCTGTAAGCCTGATTGTGTAATCGGACAGGATAGAGCTTATTTAGTTTTACTGCAGCTTGAGCTTGCTTAAGAACACTCGGCATATGCCCCCAACACAGATACGGTAATAAATTTTGTAAAAGTAAGGCAAAAATTAAAGAAATTTCAATCAGCTTGAAATTTGCTTTCTGATTGTTGGTCAAAGCATATGAATCAGTTTAATAGCAGCATGGTGTAGTCAGGGACGCCGGAACGACCAAGGGGCAAGGGAGCAGGTTGAGTAAAAGGGCACTTGAAAGATAACTCCTTACTTCTACTAATTTCTTCTACTAAATGCCATTTTAATTCAATCTTCTTTAGATATCTTGAAAATTGGCTAACTTTTGGCATAAGGATTTATTTTCTCTCTGACCCCTCTCGCTCTTCAATCAAACGGCAACAGGAGCAGTCGACCCCCCGCGCCTGCCTGTCTTCTCTGGCGTCCCTGGGTGTAGTATCCTAATCTATTTGAACTGAAGCCTAGAAGTTTTATCTCCGAACCCCTTCCTTCCCTCGAAAGTATTGCCTGAAGGCTATAAAGTTCTTAATAGTAAACTTTTCTAGAACTAAATTATGAAAAATAACCTTCGGGGTATCTTATGTAAATGTAAATGGATTGTGTAGTACCCTTAGTATCCTAAATTGGCAATTATGCCAACACGTTGTTTTAAAACAATGGGAAATTCCTAAGCTTAACATTATGAATGGAAATGCTAATAAAATTAAAAAAATTCATCAAGACTGTTTTTTCTAAATTGTGTCGTTTCTAAAATCTTGAACAACAGCGAAAGCAACCGATGCATCATCATCTTAGCCTCTTTCTCAGAGACGTTAATTCTGCGAGAGGCCTAAACATGCGTAGGCAAATGATCAAACATCATAAGAAAAACAATTCTCTATTATTTGTGTATCTTTGAAAGCGATTCTAAATGCTGTTTCGAAGATTTTGTAAATGTTGTTTGCCTTGCTATCATGAAACATCCAAAAACAGGAGAAAAGATAGATTGAGCCAGTATAAAGGCAATCACTACTGTCTTTAACATTTCCTAGTCTATGATTTTAGCAACACATGCAAGTATATGATTCTTTTCGGTCAGTCTTTTGCATATATTTTCAACGTGACAGTTGAAGTCTAAGTATTTGTCGAGCGTTACCCCAGGAGCTTTGCTTTCCCAGATTTTTCTTGTGCCAATATTCACTGAGGAGTCAGGAGACTTACTTACAGGTAACAAAAAATTAAATTTTGCACCGATTAGCTCTTTGTGATCTGATTGTCAATAAATCGTATGGCGTCTGCCTCTATTGAATACCATTTACATTAGAAATGAATGTAAAGATAGTCGTATTATGTGCATAATTGCAGATCTCAGTGCTATTCATCAAACAGTATTAAATATAAAAAGAGAGGTTCCAAAGCTGAGCCTTGCGGTACACCTTTTGTTGATTCTTCCCATTCACTGAATCGCTTTCCTTCATACGTTTTACAAGTGGATGAAATCTTCATTTCGCCAAAGCAGGGTTGACTGGATCAGTAATAAGTTTTGTTGCTGCCTTTCTTACTTCAGGAATATCAAGGCATCAGCAATGCTCACAAAGTAATCATTAAGAAACTTTGCCTCAAATTTATCATCATCTAGAAACTCTATTTAGAAATTTTATCTAAAATCAATGGCTTATCCAACATTTTTCCAAAATTTTCTATCATTTTTTAACAATTTCAAGCTAAGGTCACCACAATAGCTTCTCTTTGCTTTGCATAAATACTTGGTGGCCTCATTGCGTTGTTCTATGAAAGCTCTCCAGTTTTCATCACTTTTCAGTTTATGATATCTATTAACTTATCTGGTCCCCACCATTATTGCCTTTCCAAAGAGTTAGTCAAAATAGAACTATATTTAGAACGCATAGTTTTCTTTTTAAAGGGAGTAGGTCTTTCAGTACCCTATCTACTATTTTGCTCAAGGCTCAGTTCACCCCTCTCTCATATTTTCACAGACAGCCTTAAAAAAAATTCATTAACGTACTTACTAAAATAACTTCAGTATACTGTCTTGTATACCAACGCAGTATGCCACTGCATGAAAATCTGATTATCCCGTTGCAAATGGTTTCGCTCTATTTCTGAGGGACCTACAGAGGAGGCTATATTTCGCTCTTTGCAGAGAGGGTTGAAAACCATTTTTCTCACCCTTTGGTGCAGGTGAAATAATAAAATAGAATGTTTTCAGTGTTATCTAGAAAGAGTTTCATATCCAATCTAGCCAATCGTCTACGGCCTGTGCACTATCCTTGCGCCATTTCTTCAAAATTTTACTTGCGTGAAATTTCCGTAAAATCAGGTCGTTATTACTATCAAAATACTTGTTAAAGCTGCAATTTCACTTTAAAGGTTGATAATGATTTTTAAACAATTTGTTGGAGATACAAAAGTTAAAAATTGCTTTTTGATAAAACAAACATTTTGAAACATACTTAAACGTTGCATCTGACAATCTTCAGAGCATTAAATGTGAGAACATAGGTGGAAAACACTGTGCAAGGAAATAATACCCAGTTGTGGATCGAAATAGGCCAATCAGGAACGCGAGCAAATGACTTGAAGTTGCCCAATCAGTGCCGCTTGTCTATTGAAGATGTTACCAATGGAGTTTTAAGGTGAAAACGAACTCTTTCTGTCTTCACAAAAGTATATTTTCATTGTTATATAGATACAATCTAAAACTGCTAGATAGAATGAAGTGATGAATTTATTGATTCTGAAACTTTCAATTAGAGGAAAATCAGAGAACGTCAACAGATCGATAAAAGCCATGACCCAGCGCAACTAGGAAGTCGAGAAGTTTGGGCAAAACCATGAACTGTGGAACTCTGTAAAACATTTTTGAGTACCTGTTGGCTAAAATAACAACATAGCATTTCGCTTTTTAAAGTAAACAATTGAATAAGCGTGCAGTTCAAAAAAAACCACATCCACATCGCACAGTCTCTTTCTAACAGCAATACTATTGTTTTTATGTTGTGAAAAATGTGCTTGTCAGGAACTGCGAGTAAATTAGCATGGTAAAATATCGAGACAGACTGTCTCATTCAGGTTTAAAAGATAATTGCTAATTTTTGAACATTTGATTAAGCATCACAGACGATAGGGCTAAGCAAAAGTTAGAAAACAATAAAGGTAGCGAAGATAATTAGATATTGAATGATCGTAATGTCATAATACCGAAAATAAAGTAGCTGAAGGCAAAGAACCGCTAAGAACATTAAGGTGAATATGTTAGCCTGCGTGCAGACTCGGAAATTTAAAAGAGGAGAGAAAGTAGAGTCTGAGCAACAGTTTCTTGTTCGCTGACATCAACATTTTATTCTAAGCACTAGAACGACAAATGCTAGCTCAGGATCAGTTACATTTATTGTAATTATAACAATTTATGACAACACATAAATCGATCCAATGAGGGGAATTGTTTGGATGACGAACCAGCCTATCTGAATGTCTGTTGGCTTTTCAAAATTGTTCATCATATGCACATGCGCAGTTAAAGTCATTATTTAACATCGCATGATACATCATGTGGTAGGAGCATTCGTGGCACTAATGGAAATTGGCCTAAATCGAATAAAAAGACAAATAAAAATTAGAAAAAAAGGGAGTCAAGAGAAGACTGGGAATGAAACTTAAGTTGATTTGAAAAACTTTCAAACTGTGCTGGTCTGAACGAATTTTGATAAATTTATAATTACATTTTAGTTTTTTCTTAGTAGGAATGGATAATCGATATGATCAAACGTTGAAGTATTCTTTGTGATACTTATACAGAACAAATCTGCCAATTATTAATTTCTCATATCATCAAAAATTTTCTTTCCAGCAGTTTCTTTTCCTTCAACAGCTGATTTAAACATGTGATCTCAACAATCATCAGTAACTTAATAGCTGAAGAGGTGCTTGCAATCACATTTTGAACTTTTGAAGTTAAGAGTCAGATGTTTTAGCCGATTTTTGCTCGTGGTCTATTGCTCTTTTGTGAAAAACCTAAAAGGTTTACTTCATCCATTAAAATTTGACGAACAGTGACGTAGACTGACTTTTGTCCAGAACATTAAAATTTGGACCAAGTTAGGTTCGAATTACCTAAAACTCCTCGTGGACCGATTTTTCCCAATGAATGAACCTTTTTGCCCGTTTTACTAGCACCCGCTTGTCCACGAGTATCTATATTCCGCTTGTTTCTTTATTTTTGCCTGGAAAATGGCAAATTCACAATTTACGTCTTTAGAAATGTCTTTGGCTCCTTCTTCGCAATATTCCTTTAAAAAAATTTCTAACATTTCTCGATTTTTCTCATCTGTTTTCCCAAGAAGATCTTCCGGAGATAGGCACTGAAAAGCTGTCAAACGGTTACGATTGCTGTCAAATCTATCTGACATATTTTGCTTTATCACGTGAAAGAATTTACATCGGTCCACGAGGAGTTTTAGATAATTTCTAACCTAACTTGATCCGAATTTTTATATTTTGGACAAAGGTCGGCCCACGTCACTATTCGATAATGAATGGAATTAATCTTCTAGGCTTTCAACAATAGAGCATTAGGCCACGAGCAAAAATCGGCTAAAACATCTGATTCTTATCTTCAAAAGTTCAAAATGTGATTGCAAGCACCTCTTCAGCTATTAAGTTACTGATGATTGTTGAGATCACATGTTTAAATCAGCTGTTGAAGGAAAAGAAACTGCTGGAAAGAAAATTTTTGATGATATGCGAAATTACTAATTGGCAGATTTGTTCTTTATAAGTCTTCACAAAGAAAGCTTCAACGTTTGATCATATCGATTATCCATTCCTACTAAGAAAAAACTAAAATGTAATTATAAATTTATCAAAATTCGTTCAGACCAGCACAGTTTGAAAGTTTTTCAAATCAACTTAACATAGTGCAAAAATGTTTTTTATGCGCGCGCATGCTGACGTGATTTACCTGCCCGCGAAAATTGTGTCGTTCTGTCCCGGATGCGATTGATATAAAAATATATGAGAAAACAAACTTTGAATTTTAACCTTACCTCTGCTTTATTTTTATGGAGTCAAATAGATAAATTATCTACTTAAGATACATTTATATCATTAAATTATGGCTTTAAAACCTTATTAATCTCTTCGTGGCCTATGCTTTGCTGCCAAACTAAAGTATCCTATGCCTAGGCCTACTATTAGGCAAGAAGGGAAATATGAACAATTTAAAAAGTAAATTTTCAAGCGTTACCCAATTTTCCGCCTCTGAAGGAGACAATATACAAAAAAATTGAACTTTTGACTACAAGTATACAAAAATTCAGGATGCGGCATGGTGGAAATTTTTCACGATCGTTAATTCAAATATCGAACAAAACTTCCCATGTTGACCTTTCAAAATTTCGCTTTTGTTTGGTTTCCTACTCTTATAGAAAAATACCGAAGCGATTTCAAAATCGCGTTAAAAACAGCTACTTACATTCGTGACCAATCTATTTTAATGAAAAACTTCCATGAATATACCGCATATCCCAAAAAGTATGGCGGTTTTAAATCATCATTCAATCGCACCCATAAATTGACAATCCTAAAGTTAGGTATCTTTGCGGTGAAATTATGAACGTGACCCAATTTTCCAAATATGCCAACCAATATAATCTTATTTTTCGGGGCATGAAGATGAATCAATAAAAAAATCAGCGTGCGGCATGGTGCCGTTTTTGAGATAAAATAAATTTGAATTTTGAACTTTTTCTCCGTGGAACTGACAATATTTGAGGCATACTCACATGGTAAAATTTTGTATATAAAATGAGCCGATCAGGCTTTAAGTTCACTCCGCCATGCTCAGGTCTTTTGTGGTTGTGGTGA